GCAATTGTGCTCGGATTAGGAACTCTCGGCGCGACGTACATTTGCAGAATTTCTTTCTTAATTTCGCTGAGTAAGCCGACCCGTGTTGAGACATTATTGAAAGCGTCTTTAGATACCTTGATTACAATTTTGCGGGGATTTAATTTCAAATCGTTTTTCCTCCAGTCTCGCTGGCGAGACGTATTCTGTTTGCAAAATAATTCACGTTAGGAACTCAGTTCTACCTCAGTGTACTTTTTGCCACCGACTACACAGGCCACAGCTTGGTAAGTAGACATAACGCTGAAAATCAACGCTTCTTGAGTTTAAATTGTGTTTTCAAAAGATAACTTCTTAATTTACACATCCTGACAAAACTTTACTTAAACTTTCTTAGTTCGTCATTTCCAGCAGTTCTGCGGCATTAATCCTCTCCTCTATACAAGCTCTCTGCTTGTATCTGCCATCTGTTTATCGTGGCTAACTAATTTCAAGAATTTATTCCAATTTACGAAAAACTTCAACGATTTCAAAAAAGCACCTCAATATATTTAAAGAAATTTAGAATTATATTAACATTCGAACAGATTCGCTTGGAACAATAATACTGAAATATCAAATCGTCTTTACATCGCCTTATCCTGAATCAGACCTTACATTGTATTTTACACCTAACTCACTTTATCGCAAAAAAAATAAAGATAAAGATCTCTTTCGAGGATTCAAACAGTTACACTCAAATCATTAGAAAAATTAATTGTATTAACATTTTTTTTATCAACTGGTTATAGAGGTTGGGTCGAGGTCACCTTGACTCAGTCACAAATGCTAGAGTGATAAAGAACGACGCAAGAGTTGTAGCAGCCGAATTACGTCAAATTTTATGAAATGATCACTGTAATGTTTTTTTTTTCATACCATGGAATTCTCCACCATTTTTTCTTAGATAAACATCATCATGTGAAGGCGTGCAGTAAATGCGAGGAAAGGTTTAATGATTCCTTAAACCTTCTTTTGTCGGCCCTAATCTCCTTTAGTGAAATCCTATTTATGACACGATTTAAATTGCAAATATAGATCCAATAAAGTGATTACTAGAAACAATAACACTGATTGAAACGCCACAACAGCATACGTTTCAACGACAAGGATTTTACAAGTAACCTTCAGAGTTGTCGTTTCGAGTTCAATCAACTTGGTGTCTTTACCATACTGCGTTTGTTGAAATAGTTTTTGCTTCAAGTTGTTATTCACCCGTTTGTTTGAAGTTTCACTGAATCCTCGGGAGTTTCCTTATGTCCTAAAAGAATGCAAACATTTTGCTTACCATTGTTTAACAAAATTAAGCCAATTTGCGCCATGTGACCGCAATTAAAAGTTCATCTTGAACAGTTTCTCTCTTTTTCTTCTTTCAAGGAACGCGACGATCTCTTGGCTTTCTTGTCGGTTATGAAAGAAATTTTATTCGCTCAATTCTTGGAAAATATTCGATTAAAGCTAAAAAAATGGAAACAGATTACGACATTTTCAAATTGTTGTTCAAAAGGTGGAAAACATCCTCACAAACTGCAATTCGTTTGTGTCGCTAATGCATATTTCTGTCCTTTTTTCTGGCAATTTGCACGCGACTATATCTAACTATAAACAATGTCACTGGATAGGGGTGTCTCCCGACTTTCAAAACAAATCTGTTCTTTGTGGCTTTTTTCTTTCATTATAACCAAGTAAAACAATCACATTCTCGTCCTAGGAGTATTAATCTTTTGTTTTAGGTGTCGCGACTCCTTGTTACACCGACGAGACAGTACATCTTTGAAATTGTTTGGAACTGAGCATTTCTTAATAAAAGGTCGCATATCCCAAAAAGAATTTATAAATACGGCATCCAGTATTCAATATACGTCATTTATGCTTAAACTCCCCAGAGGCGACAGTCGTGAGAAGATCTGACGAAGTATAGTATCCTTCAAATGCAGATAAGTTTCGTTATTGGTGAGATATCCTAGACGGAAAGTTCAAGTCTTGTTTACAAGTAGGTATTTGTCATAACATCGTGATTGATTGAGGCACTACTTTCGATAATCCTTAGTTTGTAGTAATTCTTCTTAACCAACTCTTAATCAAGTGTCTTATCAGTTTAAACACTTCACGTGGGTTTAAAAGCTTTGAAAAAAACCGACACAGTATTTCACCTCGTTGCAATGAAAGGTTATCGCAAAGAACATTAATTAACGTGATTTGTGCGACAGTCGAAAAGACACATCGAGCTTTTTACAAGAAAAATCTCTTCACTACATCAATTAATATTTCTCACGGATATTTGCAGTCTGATATTATTCTTCTTTAATACTGTTTCTGTGCAGTGTATTGTTCTTTTGTTCTCTCTTTGCTCTTATCGCTGAAACACAGACGATGAAACATAACAATTCTCATTTTAGCCCAATTTCTTTGAGCAGTTGAGTTTTGTTGGCCAACGGCCAGTCAAACCTTTTAAAAGGTTCGGGCATGGAGCAAATACGTGAAAGAAGGCTGAAAAAATAGTTACAGTCTTTCGAGGCTGTACAACATAAATATTGAATCACAAAACAGTTTTGAAATTGAAATTCTTATCAGAAAAGATTTTATAGTAAGATAAGCTTCTTGAAGATTATGAGTTGAGTGAGGAACTGGTCTAGATGCTTACCTTTCAGATTACTCTTTAAAAAGAGCAAATATCTTTAAGAGGTAGCAAATATATTAGTCACTGTTAGCAGTTCGTTGAAGGGCTAATTTCCTGCAAAATTACAGATCAAACAATCATTATGACGAAGATACGACGTTTTTTTCTTTTAGTGTTGAATGCCATAACCGTTCGCCTGGCAGAGTACAGCTTTGTCCTATACTCAAACAAAGAAACAATTAAAGATTAAGAAAGAGAAATTGAAGAATTAAAAATATTGTTCGCAGAGTGGTTGAGGTTCCAAATGTTTCGGTACGCTAATATAACAGAACTACCCAAAACTGCAGGCTCACATGTGGTCTACGAGATCACGTGCATTTTATCCGAATTCTAATTGGCTCGGTCGTTGTCAGTCGCATTTGGCACTGATTTTTTTTTTAAACATGTTTTTTTTCGCAAAATTCAAATCAAAAGGGCTATTCTTTAGTTATAATGAGTTATTTGATCAGTCTGAAAGTCAAGCAGAGAAGTCGCACCGAATCTAAAAAAACATTCATCGAGGTGTCAAAACACACAATGGACATGAAAAGCAAATAAAAGTGAGTTGGCCTAAGTGACAACGAGTCGACGAGACATGCTAAATACAGAAGTCTAGCGACATCAATAAACAGGAACGCTTCTATTTTTCGGCAACCTGTTATCAGTTACCAAAAGTTGAGTCTTTTACTTAAATTTATAGAAAAATTTCTAGACTGGTGGTCCATTTTCAGAGGACGTTATCCCGATTAGGGCAGCATGCCAAAGTATTTCATCGCAAAATACCCTAAGCATTTTGAAAAATTGAACTGACCATCTTTGCTTTAGGTGTAGAGGGTAGCGCTCGAATCCAGGCTTCTCGTTCTGAAGTCATTAGCGCTAATCACGAAGCGTATAAGGGCAAGCAATGCACCTCTTCTCCTACAATTAACCGTGGGATAGGTAAAAGTGTTCTACTTCCCCGAAGGAGGAGATTCCTCGGCGCTGAGTGGATGCACCAAGAAAAAAAAAAGGGAAATATTTATTTTCGGTACTAGTAAGTTTCGCATACCTAGAGCTATCTGGATCCAGGTGCATCTGATTTCAACAGCAATGATTAACTTATCATCACCCCCAAAAACAAGACAAAGTAGGGAAACAGAGAGGGAAATCAGTGCGTTGATTTCGGCATAATTGTAATTGGTTTCAGATGCAAAGGAAAGACGCTTTCCGTAAACGGTTCACATTGTAAATTTTTGCTCAAGAAATATTATTTACTATATCCTTTTTAAAGTCGTTTACTGTGTCAAAACGGAAATCCGCGCTATCAACGCAGAATACGAGACCGAGGCTACCATTCATGAGGTCGTCTTGGGGAAACATACATCCGTTTGAGAGGCCATGCATCAATTACTCTAGCAAATCTGACGTGCATTATCTAAAGGCTTGGATCAGGAGACTCCTTCTCTGTCGCTAATGCTCTGATGTTACAATTAATACTTTACTAAAGCAACCAGCAAGGAAATTTTCACAGTCAATTCCCCTAACGAGCTTTCACTAATTTGTTCATTCGTAAGGCTTTGGTATGATACCATCCAATTTGCTTTTCTTCTTCCTCATTACCTGTCTTCTAGACGCTGTTCCCAAATCCTAAAGAGAATTTTTCAAGCGATCACTCCTTGAAGCAAAACGATTTCGAACTTAACCCTTTACATCCTAACATCAGGATGCATAGTCTCCATACCGTTCTCTATACATTTGTCAAGGTGCTGACAAGGAGAATTTGCTTAACAATCAAGAGCTTCTCTGCTTGGTGATCATTTCCTTTATTCTCATGACCTTAATGTGTGATTCAGGTGCGATATCGTAAGGAGAAATTAGATGCTGGTCACTCTTAGCGGTCAAAGTGTTTAAGGAATGTGTGCTGATTCCGCTATAAATTCTCAAAACTGAGACACTTAAGAACATAGGACTGCAACTAAGACGAAACTTCGAGGCTATCATTGTTATCTTTAAATTCAACACTACTTAATGGTGAACTGGATTTTGCGGAGATCTTTATATTCAAATTTATAGAAAACTTAATTAACAAGGCGTGCGTCTTTAAGCTCTGAAGAACAATTCTCCAATGGAATGTCATAGCGTCTTGCTTTTGTGCACCGCTTAGTTGCTTCACTATTTCGACATGATTTACAATAAGTGTTGGCGAAAACGCGCAAACCGCTTCACTTACCAAAATGTTTTGTCAGCGTGTAAATGGCATACTTCCTGAGAGCTAGGTATGCATTAACGCAGTGCGAGCGAGGAGAGGAAGCTTGCTGAGTTTCCACACGTCTTCCTGCATGACAATTAACTTTTCACATGTGTTGGTCTGGGAAGTTGACCTCGAAATCTTCATTCAAGCTGTGCTTAAACAGAAGTCTTACTTTGCGAGGAAAAACGCCCTGAAACGTGCAGACATTTTAGTCATTCCAAATGGACGAACACCGGTGTAAATTGTTTTTGAAAACAACGTGAAACGCAAAAATTCACAACGGGAATCGATCGCTCCTAGAACAAGAGGATGTTTGCCCGAGAATTCAACCACAAGGTTTATTTTCCATCGAGGGGTCTTCCTGAAAGAGTGCGCTTCCTCGCTCAATCCATGTTTACATGCGAACGAAAACGGTATGTTATTTTTTTAAGAATATATAAGAAGTGTGTATTAGCCCTGTAATGGTAGATCTATGACTGTATCACGTATGCCTCTTACACTGAAAGCGCCAGTGTAGAATATCAGGGGAAAGACTATCACACCAGTCACGTCTAGCCTGTATATTAAAGACTCTTTCAGTCCCTAATCCCTCTACATGTTCAGTTAAGGCTGTAAAGAACTTAAAACGTTTTCGTGCAATTATGAATGCTAATACAGTTTTAATTGGTCAATTGTAATAATCCAAAGGCACAGACTGGGTCGGTAAATTTATGCGAACGAAACAATTTTTTCGTGTCACAAGATACGGTAATGTTTCCGTCTGCATTTGATGAAAATTCTAACGATAAATAATTTATACTTCTATTAAACTGGAACAAAAACAAATGTTTTTTATTTAGAAAATTACTTTGGACCCAATACATCAAAGATACTTAAAAAGTTTATAAGCAAGTCTTGCTGCGTTTGAATCAATTCTACGGAGAAACGCTGACAAGTGATGATGACTTCGTTGTCAACTGACTAATATTTCTACCTCATTGCATGAAAATTGCGCCTCAGTAATTAATCGCAAAAATCATTAAAATGCTTTGATTACTACGTGACACTTACGTAGATGCGTGGGGTTATTACAATTCATGCAAAAGTTCTAGTTCTTTCTCCGTGCAATGATAGCATAAAATGTTTTTATAACTCTTTTTCCAAACACTGCACTGTTTAGACGGAAAAAGAAACAAACAAATTATTTTTCGGAACTTCTTCTCTGTAAAATTTCCTGTATTGTCGGGCTATTATCAAATTTCTCGTTATCAATCACAATCAAGAAGTTCTACTTATTGTTGTTTCTGAATAAAGCAATGTCTGTTTTTTTTTTAAACGGAAAAATGTTGAAACTAGATCTGTTTCAGCTAACTCTCCATGTGCTACTACATTTTTTTCATAGCCATATGTCAGGAGAATCGTTCGCTGAAATGCGAATTCGAAATGCCGTTTTTGCACAAGTTTTTCTCCTAGATTCTTTGGAACTTAATTTAAAGTAGGCGACTAAGAGAGCCTCACAGGGACAAGGGTAAAAATTGGTTTAATTTGTACTGGAAATACAAGTCAGCGGAATTCATATTAACGGAGACGTTATAGAATGAAGCTGTTCATATTCAAATACTTAGTGCATAACATTTAATTAACCCCCAACCATACAAATGTATCTAAAGCAGCATTCAAATCTCATTGCAAATTATGAAAGATTCTTACGAATACAGTACAATAACTTGAGGGACGAAGAACTTGTTGGAGTTTTATGGATGCTTGTCTCGTCAAGAAATCACCTGAAGCATTCAATTCAGAGAAAGACAACAATTTTGGCAGATTATAGTTGTTGTTTCATTTAATTTGTGGTTTCTATCACAGCGAAAAAACCCGTAAGTGGTCGGAAGTGGCCGGGGTTTGGAAGTTTTTCGGATGTGGTCGGAAGTGACCGGAAGTTGTCGGGCTCGACAAAGCGTGTTCGGGTGTGGGCGGACGTGGTCGGAAGTTTTTAAATGTGGTCGGAGTGGGCAGGAAATCATCGGAAGCAACTGCCTTGGGCGCAATTACTGATCACTACAGGGCATTAAATTGTAACAGTTATTTGTTGTGTGAACGCAGGATACATTCTGATTAAGCTGCATTTCCATCGGCATCAGTATCCTCACTTTATTAAAAACGATCAATTTTGTCCGCCATCAAACGATGAATTTCTAGGAAAGCGTTATTTTTCTATCTGTCATCGTTGTTTCATCGTGTAGGCGTATTTTTCGATGCAGTTCTTAATTTAAACCTTGCTCAGGGTTATTTTTTGTGTGGTGTTCATTTGGATGCTGGGGGTTTACCATTCGATTGGTGTTTGGACATCTGAGTTTGAGGCCGCGAGGTAACGTTTAAAATTTAACTATTTCGATTTCTAAGGATGTAACTCACGCTATTTATTTTTCTTCTTTTACTTTGTTTACCGTTACAAAAATGTTGATAAATTAAGAGAAGATACAAATTTTTTGCACGGGAAAATACAAAAATTACTGCAGAGTTTTGAGTGGAGAGAAATCATTCGGAGTGCAAAACGAAAAACTTGAAATTTTTAAGTTAGAGTTTTCAAAGCAACTGAACGGCGATCTGGAAATTTTTTCGGTTAAATCTGTAAAGCGCGCTGAAATAAACAACACCCCTTCAGTGGCTCAAAAACGTTTTTGATCTCCTAGCATGCCAGATGCTTGAAACATTCAGCCCAAACTTATCACTTTGGTTATTATTCATTGATCCGTTTTTTTAAGCTTCTTCATCTTTGGTCATCTTTGTTACTATTTGATCTATGTTTAAATTTATTGTCTTTCCTTCTTCGTAAGCTGATGTTTAACAGTCGCCCTCGAGCTAAATATTGTTCAACGGGGTGAAAGGAAAAAAAGTTCAAAATAGGTTCATGTACCTCATATGATTAGTAACGGATGAACGGGTTTTCCCTCAGTATTATGTTAGTACAAGATGTGTTATTTTTAGGCTCAGAGGGTAGTCTCAAAACCGTGGGTACTTTGATGCGCCTGCAATCCAACACAGCGGTCCAACGGTTGCGCATGTTCAAACATTGTAATGACTAGGTGGCGTGCTTTCAGGCGGTCAAAGACAAGTTTTCACACGCGTGTTACAAACAACCATTCAAGCCAGCAAGTCACGGTGTTTTAAAAGCGTATAACAAATTTTGTGATATTTAGATAACAAGATAATCTTACTGGCATAAGCTTTGTGTTTAAAACGTGTAGATTTCCTCTTTTAACAACTTTTGCTTCCTTCTACAAAATTCCATCCTCTTTTGCTTAAATTCGCGGGAAATTGGCGGGCGCCGGCCAGAGCTGATCCCTTTGCACATACCCGACGTTTGACCGCTGTGTTTCACGGTCTCCCGTGCACGACGGCGGCTCTGTAATAGACCGCGGCTACACCACAACACCCACGGCTGGAGACACTCAGCGGTAAAACGTCTCCATACGAGGCGGGCGGACATGGTGCTCTCTCGCCTAACAGCCTCACAAATTATGTAACGGTGTTTTAAAACCGTATAACTTTTTGATAAAGCTCAAAGGAAATTGATAAATTTACACATTACCCGCAGTTCAAGAAAAGTTCAGTTCGAAAAGTCACAAGTTCCCCCTTTCCTATCCTCTGTATCCTTTTACAGAATCGAATGCACATATCAATCTGTGTTCGTGAATCTGGCGTAACAGTGTTACAAGTGACAGTACCTTTTCCGCAAACTTGACAGCCTGAAAGTATGCCTAGAAGCCATTACAACGTTGGCACACGCGCAGAAACTAAATTGCTGGGTTGTAAAAGTATTACCTCGTCGGATAGCGTGAGGACTTTTTTTTCCGATAAAAATCACTTCGAAAGGATAGGAAATGCATTTCTTCCGCGAAAATTTTGAATGCCAAGCCCTAATGAAACATACTTCGGTTTCCTTCTAAAACTCAAAATAATTTTAGTGGCATCGACACAGCCAACGCCCTAATTGTAGCTCCTCAGGGGCGTAGTTAGGGGGCTCTTGGAATGGCCGTGACCTCCACTTCCTTGATGAGATGACTTGTGTTGGAATTCACCAATATACAAACCTTGTGGTGGCGAAAAAGCTCAAATCCTAGCTAAGAGTCTCAATGCAACGAATCATTTAATGCTCGTCCAATAAAATGTGAATTTAAGCAACACATGGCGAGAAACTCGACACGATAGCCGAGAAGCAATTCCGAGCAGTTGAGAGCGACATAGCGTAACCTTCCCTTTGAAAAAAATCTTAGCTTCGCCTCTGCTCTCTGTCTTCTCATTTACTCTCCGGAAGGAAATGTAATATCATCGCGCTAAGTCCTGTAAATGTTTTGATAAACATTTTAGCAAATTACTGTCAAGAAGAAACGGACCTTTGATTTCGGCAGGTGATTCATTCACCGTTTTTGCCCCAATCAAATTCAAACAAACGCCGTAAATGGAAGCAAAATTACCAATAAACGCTACTTTCGTCTAACAGACGCACCTAATCAGAGGAATGCTTGCGTTTTGCTGACGATTATGAAATGAAAACAAAATAACAACTTGAAGGATGGTAGGAATCAGTTATCTACACCATCCGTAGAAATTTGGATAAAAAAAAGCGAGACATGGGAACTATGAAGAAGTTTCTGTTACGCAAAAAGGAAAACAGATTCAAATGATCTGCCATCATTGTTGTCGACGAGTTAAGAAATATGATTTTGAAATAAACGCCACCCTCGAATAACCTCCGCCCTTGAATAGATGCCGTATCGAAAACGTGAAAAAAGCAATACACGTTGGGGAATTTAATGGCATAGATAGGTTCTAATTAAATCTGTTAGTTTCAGGTACTGAACGGTTTGGATTTTTTTAGTTGTTGATGGCGGACGTGATAGTGAAAATCGACAACGGAGTCCCACTAGTGTAAGATTCTAGTCCCGATCATAGTCATCGTGCGTCGACATTAAACTAGCATAGCGGCAAATTGTGTGTCATAACTAGGCTACCGCAAATATTATCTCTGAGTTGAAGCCTTGCCGCACTCAGAAGTGAAAATTGTAACACCTATGGATTTGTTTTGTGACCTGTTTTTAATGTTCGAATTATTAACCTCTCAGAAAAGTCGCCTCAACCACTTCTTCCACCACTTTGAAAAAATCTCTGGTTGACTGATGACTGGTGAAAGAGAACTTTTTTAAATCAAATATTCGGAAAAGGTATCTGCAAAAAAGCAGCTTAGTCAATTATCTAAACTCCCCGTGGTCTGAACTGTTGAGATTGAATAGAATGGCAAAGTCCCAATTTAAATCAATTAGAGTCCTAAGAGTCGCACCACTGCGAAAGCGCTGATATCATGGGTTTAAAACTTAAGGACACGCACATAGAAAATTTAGCCAAGAGCAGCCTTAAATTTAAAGATTAAAATACCGTACAGATATACTGTATACGTAGGCTGTAAGAAAATCCTTTAAGAGCTTCAAACATCCTTTAGGTTTGCCGGCATAACTGATATGGTCATGTGAGCCTTGCAAAATTCGGTACTTTTATACAAAAAGACCTTTCATATATAAAACTGATCATGAGATAAAAAAAAAAAACCATAAAGGGATTTGTCTGGCTAAAAAAATATTTTTAGAGATTAGTGTTTTAAACCGCTGAAATAAGTACAGCAAATCAGGTGGCATAAATAAAATGACAAAAATGAAAAAGTAAACATAGTTTGACTATAAAACACGCATGTTAACTAAGTAGAGCGCACTTGATTGATTCATGGTTTTGTGGTTTCACCGTCTATGTTGATGTCACAGTTTGTTTTCAGAGCTGCACAATATCAGGTACTGCCTTGTATATGTATATATATTCTTTATGTAATTTTGCATCTGTTTTCGTTGTAACAGTTGTATATATCATGTCCGATATGTTTTCATTCTTCATTTCTTTGGCTGTCATTGCAAAATTCTGTCAAAAGCGTCAAGGAAATATGAATAATTATCCACGCCCTGTTAGATAATTCTTCGTGTTCTTAACCATCAGGAAAGCCTTTTTTCAGAGCAGCAACGCCCCCAAATTTTTCTTCCAGCTGGCAAATATTTGTTACACGAATGAGAGAGTCATTTACGATTTTTCTTTCTTTGTAAACGACTAAATGATAATAACGACTCTGTCCTCGATAGATCGCCATACCCCCTTGTTCGTTCGACTTATAGACAATAGTGTTTCAACATCTGTTAGACATTTTTTTCGCCCAAGTTTCGTACAAGAATCGAGGTACGTTAAGGCCGGAGCCCATCCTCAGTGGTTTGACCCGGGTTAGCAGTTGATACCTTTAACTTTACATTAATAGCACTAAAATTTATTTCGATTTGCAAGAGAAAGTTGCACACTTGAGCTCCTCATTGCACGGGTCTAATCACCTCAGACACAATTATCGTATTCAGTTACTCGTGCTTTTGTTTACTCTATCCCCTACGTCGCGGATATTTCCAAGCATATTCTACTTCTGATTTTCTGTCTTGTAATGGTATGTTTTTTCACGCCCAAAGGTCCTGCTACAACAGAATGTTCATTGCTTTATTGCAAGTTCTGTGCGTGTGAGACAACAGGCGGCAACCAAATCTTTTTCCCGCCATTTCGGGTGGCGTGTCCAGTTTATGACGCATTCACGCCCCTCTGTGTCGATGCTACTTGAAAAGTTAGAGTGCAAAAAATTGAGGTTCGTCGTTTGCAATCCGTGCAAATTTCCTCTATCTCTTGACATCTTTGTTTGTTAATGGTTTTATATTTCTTCCGTGGTGTTTTTCTAACTCACAAAACTTTTTCTCTCAGATTATCTCCTTATTGAAAGCCTAATTTTTCACGCTTCGAAAACAACAGCAGCGACAGAATTGGGATTTAATGAAATGTGAATTCTCTTTGTTTAAATTATGGCGAATCTGGAATGAATATCATATAGCCAAAAGCCAGCTAATCAGACCACCCAATCAGCATGAAAGAAAATATCTTAAGAAGACAACTTGCGAGCAAGCGTGCATGGTCTTAGCGAGGGAAAGCACAAGCGATCAAATTATTTTTACTTCTGTGGTGTTAGTGACATATCTGATTGGCTGATAGGGTGCTGCGTAATTTTTGCACCAATCACAGAGCGAAATAAAGTAAAACAAACTCGGATTATTTTCGACACCAAGGTAACGTGTCGACACTCGATCAGGAAAATTTATGCCCGTTTTTATGGCTCCCGAGGCCAGGACTGTCCTCGGTAAAATCAACTTGTGGCTTTTGAACAATCAAAGGTTCTTGTCGGTGCTTTGATTCAATGCAGCTGCCATTCGAGATGGCTGTAAATTTAGTCTTTGGGTGAAGCTACAGGAGGCGAATTATAAGGAAAATCTCCTAAATGATTTTCGCGTGGTTCTTGTTGTAATATGCATTTGTAATAATGCTTAATCCGGCAAAAAAAAAAAAAAGACTTTGTAAGCTGATGATCATTCACAGAGGGCCTTTTGTTGGCGTGTTATCTTTTGAATGATATATGATAACTGAATATCCTCAAACGTGACCCATGTTCCCAGAAGAAACTAAACACATACTGATCCTGGCACCCACAGATTGCAAAATTTCACGTTTAGCTTGGACTGAGAAAAATGTATTGCCTCTTGTAAACAGCGCAAAGCGCTATAGCGAAAGTTTTGCGGCTTACTGTAATAACTTTTGTTCCTGCATATATATATATATATATATATATATCATTTATAAAACTTCATTTAATGCAACCGTTAATTGCTTTTTGTGCCTTCCTCGCGTGTTTCCTCTCGCGCGCAGTCTCCACGCTTCGGTTGCTCTCTGGAGTGTCCTTCATTAGAAAGAACATCTCTCGGATTGCAAGGCAAACAATCTATCATCCGCCTTTTTTAATTTTGGCAATTTTTCCAGTAAGGTTTCAGATTTGGTTATCCTCAAATTAAGACAATAAGTCGCTCTCCAAAGTTCAGATTTGCCAGGTCACTCTTGACCCGGGGATGAAGATTCGCATGCACGCTTCTCCTAAAAGGCCTTATCCCTCTTTGCCACCGGAAGAGATTTGTTTTTAGAATAAAGTAGAGAAGGAATTTTTATTACTTTGATCAGCAAACTGAGATACAATATCATTGCGGTACACATCTAACTCAGTAGAGGAGGGAGTGTAATTATGGCGACAGATTAAACTTTCGTGACCTCAAAGCTGATAAAATTCTTTTGTTAGACGCGGAAAAAATAACACAATCAGTATTATTTTATTTGTGGACAAAGCGCAAGTTTAGCTTCTTTATTCAGGTGAGGGTAAGTTTCTCGTTAAATTTGGCCACTCGCTTTGGTTACCTTTGGAGGATAAGCGGTTGTTTCGGGTTCTCCTTGGCGATCAATAAATTTTTGTTAAGTAATGATAACAAAAACCTACAAATGCACAGCCGATTTATCAACTTCGACATGTAACAAAGCTTTAGGTTTGGTAATGTAACGGACACGTCTCTTGTCTGATAGCTAGTCTGCACAGGGTGATCTTATGTCTTTAATGGCGAGTTTCATTTAGCATCGTAAATTGGGTCGAGGACGAACGAGACGATATTGACATACGAAGTCCCGACGTTGACTTGAAATTCGAGTTGATTGCCGGTAAAAAGGTGAAAACTGCCCACGTTTATCTCAAACGAAACAACTTAGCGTATGAATGTGTGGAATTTCACCACGTACAAAGTCGATTAATTGCAGGCCATCCTGCTGATTCCCTGTCAATAGTAAATCCTACTAATTGATGATTAATTGTGGCTATCCCTTCTTTCTTATCTCGAACAGATCGCCTCACTAGTTATCTCAAGGCCTCACGATGAAGACCACCGATCGGATAAACCTCTGTTTGTGCGTGTAAACATTTTACAACACGAGTGAATGAATGAAACTGACCTAATGATGGTAGTTAGTTATTGCGGCGCCTGAGTTGTGGAATTCTCACAGATGTAAGTGACACAAATTTGACTTGATTTATTGCTTGCTTCCGTCGCTCGTGAGACGCAGATTACATGTGTATTACTTTTCATTAATTGCGGAGTTTAACGGGATATTTAGAAAATGATGCGCTCTTCTACGCGATCACCGGTGATTTTGCTGCTATTTTTGTTAACGGTACCTAAACTCTCAAAACCCTGTATTCAACTGCTCGATGGCTGGAAGCAACTAAGCGCCGGGGAGCGTGCTAAACTTGTCCAAGTGGTGTTCATTGGGAAAGTGGTGAATCTCTACTCGTACGATGCAACATCAACGCATGCGGCAGATTTCGAAGTGTGGAAAATTCTCAAGGGAAGCAAGTTCGTGGAAGAGGTTTTGGAAATGCAGTCTTCCCCACTGGTGATAGTTTATGGCTTTGGCGAGAAGATGCATTGTCTCTCGCCAGTAAATCCAGGAGAAGTTCATATGGTATTCATGGTTTACGCAAATGAATCTCGTGCGCTTATAGCCAGATACGAAGATGTATTTGGGGCCACCGCACCGGCTACGGCCAAAAACGAGGAAGAAGTACTGCTGGCCTTAGGTGAGTAGCACTGAAGATTTTAAATTGTTCGTTATCTCGTAACAATACTCCACGTTTTGTTCATTTATTATTCGAAGGATTGCTTATCCAAGCACATTTCCCTGCTTTAACATTAGCAAAAATCACTTCATCTCTGGAGATGTATTCATATGGGAGCTTATCAAGAACAAACAGCTTTTGATTGGGATTTTTCTCACGTATTTCATATTACATCAAGGGAATGATAAAAATATTTTTAGAACAATGGAAAAACAATTTAATTTAGGGCATACTTTAATTAAGCATTAGCAGGATATCTGTTAGTAGTTGTTTTGTATTGTTTTCGCGCGCCACTAGGCGCGACGTAAAATCGGAAAGATTTGCGTCGCTGAGCGATCGTGAGGAGGAAATGCGTGGTTTGGAACGTTGTTCCGTTTGAACGACGTTATAATCCTTTTCGAGAACGTGACAGTTTAGTGATGGCTCATTGACAAAGACAACAACAGAATGCAAACCACGGTTTGCGGTAAAGATCCATCGTGTTTTTTATCATTTCCTCTTAAGGGACAAAAATCTTTGACGCGTCATAACTAACCTTTTCCAAGCTGTCAAGTATCGTTCTAGAAATGAACAAGGTGCGGGTTTCAACATCTGCTTTTTTGATTTGTTGCAAGGGATTCTGCTATGATTACTGAGATTAAAATATCATTTTTGCAAAAGCGCTTGCTTCACTTGCAAAACAAAACTCTCCGTAAAGCAGTGGTTAAAGCTATCATAGCAGATATCTGAGGCTTAATTTCACGCCTCTTGTTGTCTTATGAAGAATACATAAAAGCCCTTCCGAGGTACAGAAGATCTCCTGTGTTTGTGGCATATAATCAGCCTCCCGCGAGTAACTGTCAACAGCGGGCAATCCACTTTGCCTCAGTGTCGTTCCAAGCTTTATTTTGCACGCTCTCACTGCTACGGGTGAAAGGCTTTTTATCAACGAATGACAGAGCTATTTCTTTTCAAGAATTTCCGGAATGGATCCCTCCTCGTTGCAGTTTGTTTTTAGGTGGTTTGGTACAGATAAGGAACACCGACTGTTTTTGAAAACGATCTGTTTTAACCCCATTGACAGTGATTGGCGTGAAGCCCCATCATGTTTTTGTAGTGTGATGACTGTGATAGGGATCATTTCAAAATACAACTGAGGTGTCCAAATAATTTAATTGACGCGCAGATTTTGCGGTACGTTATTCAAAACTCTATACGTTGTCGGAGAAACACTGCGGTAGATTCTGCTGGGACAAAAACTGCACCGATACACTGTTCACTCAACTTTCGTTAAATTTTAAAAGAGATAATATGGGCGCGGCCTTAAAACGATATCATATTTTTTGTATTTCGTATCACATGAAAACCTCACCAAGATCTCCAACTTTACTTCCATCTTCAAACTAACAAGTTTTTCTTAAAAATCTGGATCGTTGTTAAAGCTGATATTTTTTTCCTCAAGATTTTCCCTTTCATTTTCTCAGTGCTATGAAGGAACTTACTCTCCTTTTAATTGTGTACTCATAAAGACATTGTGGCTTTTCGAGACACTTTCGTGTCCGTTTAAAGGGAGTCGTTGGGCGTAAATTAATCTACCTTTAGCACGTGTGGTGCCTCGCAGTCTCTCCTCGTTAACAACATAGCGGATTAACTCAAACTTCATTAGTATAATCCTCAGGTGATGATCAAATATATGTCTCCAAAACACCTTTGTGGCGACAACCAAATCCTGCGGAGACCGGCTTCATTCAAGCTGTGTTTATTTGACTTTCAGCTTGTATAAGAATTCTTGATCCGTTAGCTTTGGTAAGAGAAAAAAAAATGGGGAAAGTCGCGAGTAAACGAAAGAACTACGCCATTGAGAAATTGTTCCTTTGAAAAAGCTTTCCCTACTTGTAATTTTCTGATAGGAATGTACGAAAGTTTAAGAAATTGAAGAGACGAACAAAAGTTAGCAGTACGCCTTACAATTATTTGAATTCGGCAATGTTTTTCTGTCATAAATTTTATGTGCACAGATTAAAGTAAAAAATTTTCATGTGAAGGGATATCACATGAAACAATTCATAAATCATTGCAGGTTGAGATGCTCTGTCGGCAAAGAATAATAATCTTTCTGTATACCATGTAGTAATGACATTAAACCATCTCCCAAATACCACGAAATGCCGGAAACCCTATCATGCTCATAACTCAAAGCAAACAAGCGAAAATTGGTCTAATTCTTTACAAGTACTAAACAAATACAACAAACTGTTTGGGTTAATAGAAATTAGTACGGAGTAGAAGAATTTTTGATGAATTTTTCCAGGGTCTATTTTCAAACCACTGAGCGAAACAATTCAGTTGCAAAATTTGCGTGGTTTTTGACAAAATTATGGTCTAAGGAATCTAATCAATCACCCAGCATTAAAGAGTAAATTAATCTAAGCCCTCTTATCACTGAACAAATAACCTTGTAGGAAGGTTGGCCTTTACTGTAACTAGACATCTGTTCTGAGCTCGAAATTTTGCGTCTGTGCCTAGACGAAAAGATGAAAACTCACCCAATAAATTATCACTTGAACCAGTTTTCAAACAGGAGGTTCTTTCTGTTGCGGTTGGCTCCCTGTGAGTTGTAGACGAGAATTACACCTTTGCGGATGTTTGTTTTGTGATAACTTAATATAAACAGATTAAAATATTTTGTGGTAATCTGAATCCAATAAAAAAAAGAATGTCAACGACAAGGTTTGTCAATAGTTCAGTTAAAGCTGGAATTGTCCAGCTCGTGATCGATTCGATACATAAGAAATTTTTGTATGTTGAATTATAGCCATCGAATATTTTTTCTTCAAACATCCCTTGACAATCCCTAAACATTTCTTTAACTTTCCTCAGTTTTTATTTAACTGGATACAGCTTAAATCTCTCTCCACAAATCGTAAAAATCCAATTTCTATCTGGAGAGGAATATCACGGAATCTTCCTGGAGACACACGCACACAGAATATGGTTTTGAACCAACTCAAGATTTCAAAAAGTTTTCTCTATTCGTTATCTTAAACATTATTGTTGTTATCAATTTTTCGGTCATTCTAGTAATACATTATATGTATTGTATCAAGAACGTTTTCTGTTGTCTAAAAAGAATACGAGAATAACTCTGTAGTGACTAAACTTGGTGAGAAAAGAGAAAATTTTGGCCTCTTTGGAAAAGGTTTGGGTCTATAAAGGAGCGGCAAAAAGGTGGATCATTTCGGTAAGTGCGATGGAAATTATGTAAAATTTTGCCGAAAATTCACCCGTTGTTTCAGGACCTTTACCACGTTACGGCTAGATTTCTTTTCGGTGCTCATCTCCTCGATGTTTATTATTTTTTTTAATTAAAACGAACTGAGAGATCTCAGATTTAACGAGTAAGCTGAGATTTCCTGGGTAGGTTTCATACCTACGCGTGTCGAGTCCAAAAAGTATGTTGGATTGATCACGATCTCCTCTTTTCCTCGGGGCACTTGGAGGCTGTCACGTTCTTTAAAGTCAAGAACACAGATTAAATCTTAATCCTAAAATTGGCTTTCATCTTTCGAGCAGCTTTCGTCAGTCGCCCTGTTGAGGTGCTTTTAAGCTCTCTTATATCCCGTGAGTTTCATGTTTGACCAAAGAAAGCAAGAAGAAAAATAACAAAAATTTTTGCTTATCAATATGAACGCACGCGTTTCATTAGAAGTTTCTTGTTTTTTGTTTTTTTTGGCTGCACAATCAAAATGGTAGGACCGTGATGTAAGCAAAATAAGACCCTTGTGGACAAGATAAAAGTGACCCTTTTTCACATTTTGCATTGCCAGAAAACATCCTGAGCAAAAGATTTTTATTATTTGAGGGATAAATTTACGTTGTTTTTACACAAGGTTCTTAAATCTCAACTGCTGAGCGTTTTGTTTTAGATTCAATTCAATACTTGCATCTGTACTCGTGCACGTCCTTAATGCAGTCGACTCTCGACCTGTAGACTCCTCGCTGTTACGGCATCCCGCCATTGCGGACAACAGCCAGCCCCCGGCGAAACACAAAGAAATGACTGAAATGAACTCCCGTTATGACGGACTCTCCCTATAACGGAAATGCGGACACTTTCATCCCCTCAACCCCGCCAGAGCAATATTTTACTTGTTTTATTTCTCGCTATGGCGGACACTTACATACTTCGTCCAAATCCTGACACGCATAATATAGAGCGACATTACCATAAAGGAAAATAAAGAAACCATTCTCCAATTGGGTGCGAACATGCCATGGCCGCAGAATTTTCTACTTGCGGCCGGATCTTTTTCTGGTCCGTGAGGCCAAGATATAAACTTTATGTTTGCGTAGTTACATATTATTTCATATGTTTAGAGACAAAACAATTTATTTTTCTCTCGTAACCCGCAATCACGGACTCTCGCTATTAATAACACTAAATGAGTCGATTGTGATGAGATGGTCTGCTGCAAGAGTGGTGTTTCTACAAATTAAAGATTAACAAGGGCTTGGTTCGTGATAAGGGGTAGTTCTTTTCGGTCAGGGGACCTTTTAGAATTTGTTGGCAAACTCGTTTAGCATCGTGCTTATAAAGTCTCGAGCTCAAAATTTACCGTCTCTCTCTATGACCAAATATATTTCTGCTGAAGAAGCCCAGACTGCTATCGTCTTTGCCTTTTTGAAAGATTTTTAAATAGCCTCTTAGCCAGAAAAAATTGCTACTTTAGATTAACCATTGTTTACTAACTCCTTAGTAAACAAATGTACGAAAATTCTTTGGTTTGAAAATTTTTAATGTCCCGCATAAATAATGTGACTCTTGTTTGCCTGCAACGTTACGAAACGAATCATCTGAGAGTTTGTGTTTACAGCTGCGGAGTAATACGCCGGAGATCTGCACAATATCTTCGCTTGGACAAGACAAATTCGAAGTGTAATCCGCAATATGGCTTTAAATTAATCGCTCTCTTGTTAAAAGGCACTGAGTCGGTCGCCTAATGGAGACTCTTATAAAACGTTAGTAACTTTGTAAAGATCTCTGAAAATTGCTCCGCAGGTCACTTGGTAACTTGGATGGTGTTATACACAAAGTTACATCACAAAGCCTTTCTTACCGCAGTAGAGTTGGATATGAGAGTCCGTAGTCATTTTCCCATTTTTTTGCTCCGAAGCACTTGAAGAATGTCTTTATCTCTTAAAGTCTTGTCTTTAACTCTCAGAATATGATATGGGGTTTTACTGCGACCCATTCTGTCTGGTATCCTAATGATTATACCGACATGGTGGTATTTTAAGCTTGTTACATTTCTGTTTTCATATGCTTGTCATATCATTTACCTGAGAAGATTAGAAGCCGGTGCACTTAGCCTTAAAAAACACCTTGCGCACGTGTGTAAGATCAGTGAATCGAGGCTGGTTTGACATTTGTTAAATAGTTTTGGGTTTCAATAGTTTTCGATGTGGTATACGGTAGAAACTGAGTTGAATTAGCTAATTGAAATTGAAAGCCTTAGAGGTTATAAAACGTCCACTTAAGTGTAGAGAGAATGTGGTATTGGAGCTCCATTAACGCCTTTGCTTTAGAATAAGATTTGAGGATTTGCCAAGACGATTGACCGTATTTTAGTGCATGAAAAAAAAAACCTTGAACTTCTAAATTAGCAAGAAATGCCTGAGCCTAAATAATTTGGTTTTTTTTCCAGAACTTTCAGCTCTTACGGTTTTACTTTATTTGAATCCAAGATGACATGACGTCTTATTTAACTCGGTCACACTCTTTCATGTTCTCAAAAATAGATAAACTATGCTCGAAAATTGGAGCATTCGCTTTTGAGCGTCACCCCTGAAAACATGGCATTTTGCCAAAAATTGTGCTCAAAAGTTTTAACTGTGCTAAGTCGAATCATTTTAATAGCACCTCAATCTCCCCCGTTCCCACCACCAGCAGCTGAAAAGAATGTGCCTGATCAAATTCCTTGAGCATTATGCTTGAGATAAAAGAGCAAGTTTGAGAAGACAGTACTCAAGCAACAGAATTTCTCTCTTGTTCAACCGCAACATCAAGAAAATTTACAAGAAGTTTAATCATGCCGGGATTATTCTAAATGATCTGGCTATAGCAATATGCCCAAAATTATACTGGTATAATTTTCCTGTTCCTACTCAAAAATCTCCTCTTTCAGTGACTCTTCTTTTATCAGAATTAAGTGTTTCTCTTTATCACTAAGAGGAATTCGATCTGTCTGATTGCATTTCAGTGATTTCCGAGTAGGTCAGGAACACAAGATAAAATTAATGTTTGTTAGTATAGATACCCTTCTCTGTTTTTCAAGAAGCAGCTTTACGCCATTAGTTGCTCGATCTCCTCGAATCCGTGCGAAATGTATCGTTTATCTTTTTATTGAGGTATCATTTCTGATACCCAGCTTAATCGACTTTGTTTGCATTGGATACAGTTTTAAATCTGGATAACGGAAATTCAATTTTTTTATGGTCGTAATCGTGTATGTGTGTTCCCACAGCGGTCACGCAACTTTGCAAGACGTGCTATTTTTCAGGCGAATGGCATTTCTGCAGCTCGTGATTTCCTCAGATCATGGGCGCTTGAGGCTAACAATTATTGTGCTTCAAAAGAGTCCAGGGAAGGAGAAATGATTAAAACGAAACGTTATAGCCATTGAAATTCACAGTCATTAAGAAAGGTCAGATTTTGCCACCAGGACACACAATCTCTTAAATTGACCCTTTCAAAGTCTTTGACAAACAAACTCTTAACCTTCGTAAAACTGATGAAATGAGAAATATGAGCGGTCAGGAACCGGCTTTTTATAAGTTGTTCACCGAGGTTCTTTTGCTTAGTCTTTGACCCTGCTTGCAATCACGTTTCAAGATTGCTGTTTGTATTCAGAGGAGAACAGTTTTACAGAAAACAAAACAGGAATTTTTAAACGAATTCATGTTATTGTACGATTAAACAAGTCAAGTGCGCAACAAAAATAATTTCATTAACATATTTACCTTAAACAGTTTTGTCGCGTGCACACATGTTGTAAGCCACAGCTTAATTAGTCAGCGGGCGTATTTACAGAGCGCCAAGCTTGATTGATTAGGTGTTGTGCTTAACTGTGACGGAATGTCTCACTATCTGCTGTGAAGACCAGTGAGAAATGATCCAGTTAACAATAACACGAGCATAGGAGTTCTGAGGCTTCAAAATGCCCCGCTATCTTGGTGACTTTCTGTTTAACTATCCAGTTCATGACTGCTCCTTCTCGCCAGACAGCCGAACCTCTTACACTCAAACTTCTATTTCGAAATGTCTTTTATGAAATAACCATTTGCTTCAACTTTGAGATCACCGAAATATATACGTGGTTATTTCCCTTCTCGTCGGTAAATAATTGTTAGTAATTCCTTACGATAGCATCTGAGAGAAAGATTTGCGGAGTGTGTATTGGGTCTGTAGTCGGCCAGGCTGAGGAGGCGTTCACAGGTCACCGAAGTTAATTGGAAACTCATGAGTCCTCCAATCTGTTTTGGGGTGTAATCGGAAATATGAGAATTCTGAGATACTCTTGTAGTTGGGGTGGTAATTCAGGACTGATAATCTAATTTGCCTTCGCGCCAGAAAACCGAAAAAAAAGGAAAAAATTGAAGCGTATCTTTCTTTTTCACCCACTCTCGTATAACTGTGCTTATATTTCTTCTGGTTTTTCGCGTTTTTGTTGACGACTTCCCCAGATGAAACATTACCACGGAATTGCTAAGTTTTGCACGAATTAAATTCGTGGAATTCCTGTTGGAATATTGAAATATGTTACCAAATTAAAAGGGTAAAATTAGTAAAAGTAGCTCAAAATTGTAGTATAGATTACTGATGGCTTTAGAACCATTTAATCTTTATGCGGAGGTCCTGTAAACATTTCATTCCATAGATTAAGGCTTTTCGTTCACATAACAAAACCGCGTCAACAGATCAAAATTTGAACAAAGCATTAAGGAAATGTTTTTTTTATCTCAAGCATAAAGCTAAACGCATCAGTCAAGGGAAAAAAAAGTCCCATCCTTAAAATCTTTAATTTTTTTGGCACTGAGTTCCTCTTTTTCTGTAAACAACACCTGTCCTTTGACCTCAAATCATTCCTAGTGATTACGAAATGTTCAAGGTAGGTTACGTAATTTGCTTTGAAAGGGCGGGCACAGGAGCTTTCGTGGGTGTGCGAGGGAGGATTCGCGCCATTGAATGAAACACGAGGCAAACTTCTTTATCAACAGTATCATTTGATGCATTAGGCTGGTGTGGCAAAAAGAGCGATTCTACCGAAGCGTTCAGCTTTATTTCCTAATCTAATTTTTCTTCCGCTGTTCGTCTATACACGTTTCACTTGGGAGCCTTTAGATCCTTAGTTAATACGGCCTGAGGAGAGGCAGCAACACTTCACCATGAATTTGAAACAAAAAACTTTGAACAGCGTAAAGCGCAAGCAAAATGCATTCTGACGCTTGGGGACGGGTATTTCAACAGAGTTTAACCGTTGTTGAACAAAGCGTGTCCTAAACTATCCTCAATTTAGCTGAACCTTTTATCTGAGCATTTATTATTGCAATCAGTGTCAAGAGGGCTGAGAGCTAACGGTGGAAGCACATTTGCTTAATTAAATCGACCCTCTTATGGAGAAAACCTGATATCTGAGCCCCGCTGAATGCGAAAAACCGTGATTTGGGTTAGACCTCGTGTTAAAAACCGACACTTCGAGTTTTGTTTCAACCTAGCCTGTTCAAACTGACAAATCAATGTGATATTTACAGTGGCAGATCCAGACCTTGAGCTAAGGGGGGCCTGGTTTTTTGTTGCTTGCCCTGCCGGCTTTTCTTCCTTCTGCGATTCTTTTTTTTTTATTTTACTCAACGCATATCGTTACTTTACACAAGGGCGAAACGAGGTACTATTAACCCAACGCAGAGAGCCACGCTTACGGCTCGAACCCAAACACATGATCCTATTTTGTTGTGTTTATAAAGACAGACTCGTTCTTCGGTTCACTTCAGTTTTCTTCGGTTCACTCCTGGAATACATGTATTGCAAAGGGTCCGCAAAAGCATATCTTCTTTAATATAAAATAAAATGAACGAATATATTGAACGTAAACTTTTTCCGCAAAAACTTTGTGAGGCAGCGTGAGGCAGGAAAAAAACATTTGAATCCTTAGCAACAAATAGGACCTCAGCAGTGCGCACGGAGTACTGTTTGCTTCAAAATATTGCTGATCTTATTAGTTTGCGAGGCGCGTTTCACATGTGTCCCAAATACTTTGCACAACTTTCTGTAGTCCAGTGATGCAGCATCTGACCACCAAACCGAAATTGAGTAAAGTTTCAAATCCTCACCAGCAACTCAAGTATTTGTCTTTGAATTAAAATCGCGACAACTGTTTCCATCTTTCTTAACACTTTCTCTCTTTCACACTTCGTTTCAGGTTGGAAACCTTGGTCGAGCTGGAGTCGCTGCAATAAAAACTGTGATGTGGGTGAACAGTTTCGCACAAGAGAATGTGTGAATAAAGAATGCGATGGCAGCTCTCGAGAATCAAGGAAGTGTAACGAGTTTGAGTGCTATGGTGAGGTTTCTTTCGTTTTACGGAGCGGTTTGCAAATTAGCACCTCAGGAAATGTATGAAGAACAGTATAGAGAATATGCTATCTGATGTTAGGGCAGCTAACTGAAATAAGCAAAAGCAAAGTAATCCTGTATTACCTGCGCTAGTGAATTGAAAATTGCTTATAAAAGATCAAACCTAATTGGGACAACGGGAGGTACTTACAGTGCACTCGTTTTCCGTCCTGTCATGATTGCTTATAAAAGATCAAACCTAATTTATAGTGTTGGGGAGGGTGGGGGGGGGGGGGGGAAGCGACATTTTGTCACGTTTTTGGTCTTAAAAGACAGTCTGTTCCGGCTTTGTAGTCGTGTGAGTCACAATGAAATTTTGCCAACTTTGTGATCATGCTACAATGAGAGGAAAAACGTCTTGGCACGCCTTGCTACTTGATAGCGTTTTCCTTTAACCCGTTAACTCCCACAAGTGATTGAGACAGAATTTCTCCTTTTAACATCAATACAATATTAACCAGATAAGTGATGAGAATAAAGAAAAATATCAATTTGGGGATAATTAGTTGATCCAATACTAAATTCTCTGACCTAACATAAGAATTGTATGGTTGACAATAAGGAGAAAGACAAATTCGATCTGGGAACTAAAGGGTTAACTTTCACGCGCCAACTACTCTTAGCAACACTGGAATCGTGCCACCTTTGAGGTTACTGAGTGTGTTATCACGTGAGTTAATTTTATCTTAAGAGACTGAAAACTGCGTGTAATTTTCACCGTTTGCCATCGTTCCATTGTCATACCAAAAATTACTTTTGATCAATGCTTCTGAAATTATTCTAATTATTAATTTCACTAATATCAATTATTTATTTTCAGGTTTAAAGGACATAGCTCGACACATCCGAGAGGATCAGATTCCACCCCTTTCAAAACACGACAACATAAAAGTAGAAAACGGAGTCTTCAAGTCCATACCAGTTTCAAAAGTGTTTCGATATTACAATTACTTCCCGGACGACTTTTCTATTTTATTTTCATTTCGTGTCATAGCTCTTACAAACATTTACCTAGTGGCTATGCACGATCACCGCAAATCTTTGAGGTTAGGAGTAAGAATCACACCAGATCTGGTGATTTTTGAATTCGAGAAAAGCTCTGCCATTCAATTTCGCGGAGGGTCGCTGGACTTTCCTGTGAGAGTAAAAAAAGACCAATGGCACACCCTGGGTATAAGTATCCAGGAACGAAACGTCACAGCCTATTGGGACTGCGCGAGGATTGGGTCCAAGAACTTACAAGAAAAGTTTTCATTCGTTACGGATGCTATGGGTAAAATCAGCGTCGGGGAACCACTGCTTGTGTCGTCCATAGAGAGATACGAGGTGAGTTGATGGATACCGGATGAAATGCTATTTAACTACCACAGTCAATGGTTAAGTGAATTATTAATTTAATTTCATTGAATTATCTATCGAACAAGAGGAGAGAGCATATCTTAAGAGAACTCTAAAGAGGAAAAAGACAATTAACCATTACTAACAATTACTAACCCTGTTGTCGTAACACAACAGCAAATTGTTTGAAGGGATAAAAAGACATTCTGGATCTCTGTTTTTTTAACCGTATTTAATCAATTAAACGCCGCTCTCGAATAAACGCCGCCTTCGAAACAAAATTATTACTTAAGTGAACGCCTCCACCGCCCTCGAGTAAACGCACCAAAGCAGGAGGAGGCGGCGTTTTTTTCGAGGAATATATTGAACCTGCTAAAAAGTTGAACAAGTGCTCACTAGAATAAATACAGAGAGGTCTTGTGGAGGACAACTTAGGGACAATATCGAGATACCTCTGAGGTAGAGCGTGAAACCTCGTAGGCTGCGTCATGTATGGGGGGAGCAAGGAAAACATCAAGCTGGTACTAGAAAAGGCAGGGAAACACCTCGACGCCTTTTTTTTCTTTTTTTTCTGGCGCAGTCAGAATGTAAGCATGAACAATCATTGAATTAACTTTGATAACAGAGCAAAGCTGTTCCATACACCGAATTGCTTTGACCTTTGAGTGATAACTAACCTTTATTTGGTGTAATTTCACGAAATGGCTGCTATATTTTTTAGGTTGAGGTCAGCGAGTTGTACTTCGTACCAGATCCCGGCGCATCAAGACAACAGTGCGACCCTCCAATATTCAAACCAGTGAGTGGGTTAGAGATAAACATAAAGGATTTAGTGAGTTTTATCAGGAAATAAGAAATGTTAGCAAGCAAGATGAAAATCGAACTTTGGAAACAACAACTCTAACTCATACAGTTGATCATTGCGAGTACTTCGATTAAGTTTAAGAACTAGATATGTTTCTGTAAACAGGACAGAATACCGATCTTTGACGACATTGCTTCAATTCTGTACTACTACCAGTAAACGGCATTGTGATACCACGGACGGGACTTAATGACGGTACGAAGAACATCGACCTAGCCACATCACATAACAAGTAAAACAGAGCGGTCAAACACCGCGACTTGCTCGCTTGTGTGATTGTTTATTCTTGAAAGACAACTTGGCTCTGACAGCCTGAGAGCACGCCGCCTTGTCGTTTCACGCACATGCGCAGGCGTTTGACCGCTGTGTTGACGAGCGAGGGTGCGAATATGACTTCCTTTTGCCTAATTTCATACGAACCTAAATGTTTGGTTTGTTGTGCAGGTCTTTCACGCTCACGAAATAGAAGGTAGTGGTGGAGTAAGTGCTTCGGAAATCTACGGGAAAGAAGGCTCCGGTACGCCAAATTATGTTGAAGATTCTGAAAATGAAGGTTTGTTCAGGAAAGTCGTAATTTCAGTGCTGATGCCAATAGTGTGTGTTTCTCTGAGGAGTGGTTGAGGAGGGACTGGGAAAAGGGGGTGGCTAAGGATGGACTTTGATCTCGCTCAGGGGATTTTTGAGATTTTCGATACAAAGAAATAATCAATTGATAATAAAACGCAATCCTGGATTGCATTTATTTGCTTTATTTTGGCACACAATCGGTCTTGAAATTCTCCCTCAGTCAAATGAATGGAAAAGTACTTAGACCTTATCACAACTGGCCTCTTTGCAGTGCTCTACCAACTGAGCTAGCAGGCCAACTGGGAGCTGGTATCGCACCGGTATCGCAAAGGTCATGGGTTAAATCCCGTACAGGCCTGAATCTTTTCAAGCCTTATTTTCAGTACTGCTCAAGAAGTGTTCATTACTGCGAAGATCGCTTTCATATTCACGTCTTTATCCACAGTTCCCATATATGACTTTCATATATTCACAGTCATTTACTCATCGCTTCACGGGTTTATGTGGAACCAACACATTGACCAGCTCGCAGTTGGCTTATTAGCCGAGTTGGTAGAGCGCTGCACCGGTATCGCAGAGGTCATGAGTTCAAATCCCGTACAGGCCTATACGGGATTACTTTGAATTCTTATTGGCTCCTTGTGTTATTTCCAATTTTTCCGACGGCCAGTTTTGATAACTTTGAATGAAGGGGTAAGTTTCTAAAGAAACTGTGGTGCTCGTCGGTGGAAGAGTATAGCAGGGCAGTGAAGTGTTATCAACTGAATTGATAACGTATGGTTTTATGGTTTTAAACTCTTTATGGTGGTCGATTTACGTGATCAACTCAGTTGATAATACTTGATTACACCGTAATAACTTTGGTTTGGTTTCACAAAACTGAATCGCGAGCAACTCAAGGTGATCTGGGGCAAACTATAACGATAGTTTGCTCTGTTTTGTTAAATGTTTCAACAACGTTTTTTCCCCTAGTCGAGATCTCTTGGTCGGAATGGTCACAATGCTCTAAGACTTGCGGTAAAGGCCGAAGGCAACGCTTAATGACGTGTAATTTCGAAAACGGTCGGCCAACAGAAGAGTGCCTTCAAGCCCTCCAAATGTTTGAGGTCAAAGATTGTTACTTACAAGACTGCCCAGGTACTAAACGACCACCCACTTTTAATAAAAGTAATAGTTCTTTTGCAGACCCGAAAAACGAGCCACAGAGATGTAACTTCTTCTGGGTCTCTTCGTATCGGATCGTTTCCTAGATCTCACTTTGCCATTACTCTGGTAAAACTTGCAACGTCATATGAGATGACGAGCCAGTGCAATAACCCAGATCTTGGTTTTCGCCGCCTGAGGTCTCGGTTACCGGTCTTGAAATTTTACCAAATTTAACTCCCCTGCTGATAATTTGGTTGAACGCCTTATCAGGAATAGTAATGAGCCCTAAGTCTCAGCCGTTAACTGGGCTGAAATTTTTTATCTGAAAAGGAGACCAAATTTGTCCCGTCAAGCGAGCTGGCTTTCTAAGCAAGCACACATAACCTATTCCTTAACGGGTAAGCTAGTTGTCATGGCAACCCTGGCAAACTGTCCTGCGCGGGATAAGCTAGCTTTTCACAAAAGAAGATTGGCTTTATGTAGTACTTTTCCATAAGGTCTTGATAAATAACAAACCAGAGAAATCAACAGTTAGAGTAAAGATTGATCTCCAAAAGTCATTTGCCCGTCTCAAGCGCGGGAAAATGTGTGTCACCCAGTCGTAACCAGCTTTCGTCTTGCTTCTGATTGGTCCAAAGTATGGCGCGAGTTTTCTTGACCCAATCACGAAGCCTCGTTGACTTATAACAAGGGCCAATCAATAGAAAGGTTCACAATTGAGGGAGCCAATTAGGTACAAGTGTGCAAGTAAACGAGCTTTATTTTCTTTCTTTGATTTTCAGCCAAGTGTGATCTTCCGTGTTTAAACGGCGGATTCTGTATCAGTCGTAATAAATGTCGCTGTCAGCCTGGTTACCATGGTGACGTCTGTGAAAAAGGTTTGTTAAGAGTTTAGTTCTTGAATAAAATTACAATAGCCTTTAATTCGTGTCGTTTACCTTTTCAAATTGCGTGAAAATTTGAGGAGATTTATGGAATTCAAGTTAACCTTTGCCAGTGGGAGTCGCGGTAGCCTTGTGGGTAGTGCTCTAAAATCAAAAGGTCTGCTGATTACTGTGTTGTTTCTTTTTGCTTTCGCGGTGCTTCCCTCCAATCAGGAGTATAGATGGGTAATGGCAGACTATCAGGGAAACCAGTCGAAATTTTAGGGGAGTAGCAACACTCCAAGTTGCTACATGCCACTGGAGTAGGAAAAAATTCGACGGGAAGAACCTCTTAGCTCACATGCTGAATTAACCTTTGTTTATCGGTTACAGTGGAGTGCAAGATTCATTGTCGTAATGGCGGCACTTGCGTGGGACCCTACAAGTGTAATTGCCCGTCAGGATATGGGGGAACACAGTGCGAGAAAGGTGATCATTTATCAGTTTAGAAATACATATTTAAGTCTCGCTGAGTTTAAAACTAGTAGGAACAAACTCCTGAACTTCAACCACCGGTCAGCTTTCCAGTGGCAGTTTTTAAAAATGAGCCACTGGCGAAATACAACTTCGATTTTCTAATTGACGTTTTCCTTGGCGTTGCTTTTCCTTATATTATCAGACTTTGGGTTTTATAAATCAATAACTTCATGTGTTGTACACTAATCATACTTCATCGTTCACCTTAATTCAGTGTTTTTACTTTCCTTTTTTTTTTCCTCCGCAGTACTGTGCACTCCACCATGTCAATATGGCGGCAGGTGTATCAAGCCCAATGTGTGTCAATGTTTTCATGGTTTTACGGGGCCGTATTGCAGGCGTGAGTATCGAATCCATACATAGGAATCTTATAATCGAAGAGAGATTTTAAACAATTTAGTGACAATACTAAGTACATCGAAAGCGCATGAATCTCAGTTATCTCCGATTTAGCCGTCGGATGCCTTATCAAATGAGGTACGGAGATCTCGTTCGCGAGCTTCGCCATAGACTTGGTTCAGGATCGAGTGGTGACTTCCGCTCGGGTTTCCACAACCTAAGCAGAAGTCATTACCAGAGCAGTTTAGTGAGGAGTTGTTGGTCAAATATCATAGCATAAGTCTGGTTCGTTGAAATTGGTTGGTTTAATGTTGTCGGGATCAGGTAGCATAAATCGAACATTTATTACACCTTTGAAATCGCCCGGTATGAAGATAAAGTACGAATGAATACTCTTGAGAATTTTGTATCGATAGTACCTTTGAGTAATTTACATGACGCTTTCGTTTCCTTCTCTCCTCAGCCTCCTGCAGCCCGCCTTGCCTCAATGGCGGCGTGTGCGTGGGTTCAAACGAATGTCGCTGTGCCAAAGGTTTCACTGGAGAATCTTGCCTTCAAGGTATTTGGGTTGATGCATTGTTTATTGATTGAGACTCTTCATATTTGAGGATGGAAGGTGACGGGAAACTTTGAAATGGTCAAATACCACTTACAGTTACAACTTTTCAACTCTTTAGCCTCTAAAAGTGACTAGCATCTAATTTTTGTCTAAACAGTATCATTTCTCCTATATCAAACGTTGAGGTCACGAGAGTTTTTTTTTAAGGTTATTCTGCCGTCTGTGACATATGGTATGTTAGTTTGGGGCTCTTGTGGTCGAGTATTTTTCTCAAGCTTAGAATCTATACATGTTAGAGCGGCGAAAATAATATTTAACTTGGATTGGTGTACTCCAAGCAAGGAGGTTCTTGCCACAGTAAAATGGAATACCTTAGAGATTATGTATGAGAAACGATTACTAATCTTAGCGCATCAGGCTTATTATAATCTTTTGCCACGTCCTATGAGCCGTCACTTTGAAAAGTATGTAAGTAGCTACGACTTCAGAAGGAAAATGACATTTAAGTTACCTAGACCTAAGACCGATATGGTCAAGAAATCATGCTCATACAAGTCAATTACTCGGTGGAACGCTCTGGAAAATCAAATGAGATCAATTCAAGACGTTGACGCTTTTAAAAAGTCACTCAAGTGTATTTTTAAGCCACGTATGTTATAATGATGTACTATGTAGAATTTTTATTGTTGAAAATATGTAGAAATCTTACATTAGTCTTCTTATAATTAGTTAGGAATTTAGTTTTATTGGATTTAGTTAGGAATTTAGTTTTATTGTCCGTACACGACCACATCAGCTTTTGCTGAATTTTTTATCGTGTTTAAATAAATGCTGTTGTTGTTGTTGTTGTTAATAATCACCAATTTAAGAAGCTCTTGATTGTTCGAAAAATTCTCCTTGTTAGCACCACAGGAAATGTTTAAAGAACGGTATGGAGAATATGCAAACTGATGTTAGGAAGTAAAAGGTTCGGTCATTTTGCCACCAGTTTCTATCAATGTTTCCTCTCTCATTTTAGCATTATGCAACCCGCCCTGCATGCATGGCGGCGTATGCTATCAGCCAAACAAATGCTCCTGTCCATTCGGCTGGCACGGGAAGAGCTGCGAAAAAGGTACGTTCCCTTGGGTGAAATTTTTTTTTTTGAAATGTAGATAGACTGGTATAGCCATTTAAATCCTCAGGGAGTATCGACCTCTTCACGAACTATCCCCTTTTCTGGTGTAATTCGTGTCAAAATTAAATACTAAAGGATACGTCGATTGAGCCACACAATATTTTGCGGCCTTGAAAACATGGCCGGATCAATTGTTATTAGCCGTCAGACTTAGTCTTTCAGACCCCGTGGCTCATCAATGAAGGTGCTTATCCCGAAGTTACCAGGAGTCTTGCACCTCCTCCTTTATGCGCCTGATTGGAGATGTCTTGCCCAAGGGCGGCCTAGTTTAGCCAAGGCTCGATCCAAGCCAAGCCAAAAGGTGATCACTTCTTTTACTAAATAGGTTTCAACTCTATATTTTCAGCGCGTTGTTATCCGCATTGTCGAAATGGAGGGACCTGTTGGAGAGGAAAATTCTGCCTTTGTTCCAAGGGATATTATGGTTATTACTGCCAAAACGTTCTCGGTGAGTAAATAAATGATTATCAGTCAGAATTGAAAGAAGAAAGCTATTTCAAATGATTTTGTAAAACCCCAACGGAAATTTTTTTTTTTTCATGCATTGGAACCCGAATCCCACCCCATTTTTGCACCAAGTTTTATTGCTAAATCATTTGAGGATGTCAATTTAGTACCCTTAAGTATTACTTAAATCACAAACGGGATATAGTGTTGCACGACAAGTCAAAGCAATTTTTGATCGAGAGTCAAATTTGATTGGTCCAGAAAACCAGGTCATCCTCTCAACCAATCAGATGCAAACCTTAAACCAATATCGATTTCGTTACTTGCGTTTTCCCACGCTCTACACAGTTTTCTTAGTTTTTGCTTTAAAGATCTCATTGGCTCTCTGAGCGACTTTCTTTGGCTCTCATTGGCTGATGTAATTGTTTAGTTTTGGATTTGCAGAAAACACTCTTTTTACACGATGTTGGTCTCTGTTATTCTCTGGTTCACGAGTATACTTGACTGTACATGTAACACGCTTCTTTTCTTTTTTTTACAGCTGTAAGGTCGTATTAGTGGGAAGGCACGAGAGTCAATGAACAAGACAATAAGACAAATTTCAAGAAACGTTCCTTTAATTTCCCAAAGGGAAGAAGATAATAGAATCTTTAAGTTTAACTTATGTTTCACAAAAAGGAAGGAAATTTTCTCACAAAGTCTCGGCATTTTAGATGCTTTTAAGATGTTGGACCAAAAAAATGAGTCTGGATAGGTCTACAACTGCAAGCGCCCCAAAGATTTCTTCTTCCTTTTTGCGTGACTGCGTGACATGTAATTCCCTGTGTGACAGATTGCGATTTTAACACGCGTTTCCCTTAAATAATTGTCGCATCATTTTTAGAGAAACTAACTAACTAAAAGCGCTTGTACATAGATACTGCCGTTCGGTAGGTTCGTTTGTTATTCAGGATAACATCAGTTTGGAAAGTTCTGCAATCAGATTTGTAAATAGTCGCAAACGGTACGTCGTGAAACAATTGTCCAACTTTTTGTCTGGGACGAAATAACTGATATCAAACGCAAATTCGTTTTGTTTGCAATCTCTCTCTTAATGTTATGGAGGAAAATAAAATTGAAGAATAGTTTAACGCTGCTGCTGTTGAAGTGTCAAAGTGGAGGGATTTTATCTCATTTCTCCTCACCTCTTTGGATATTTCGTGAAAAAATCTTCCCCTCCCCTTTGTCTTTCATGTTACCAGCCTTTAAAAGGACACCTCAATTTTATATGCTCCCATGTTTCGTTCAAAAAAAATTTGACATATACATGTCCTTTCCTAGAGTCGCAGAGTGAAAAAAAGAGAGCAACCCTTGACTTTCGCGTTGTTCAGGAGCCTCCGAACGCCAAACCCGAGCGCTGAATCCGAAATAGATCCATGAACGTCAGTGATACTGTGAAATATATATTTTTTTTGCTGGACGTTTGATATTTTGTTGATATTTGATCACAACTAGTGGCCTTCCACATTTGCAGACGTTCCAGTGAAATAAACCCCGAGTTCATAAAAAAATGGGAGCAGGGAACAAAAAAGAAACTAAGAAACGAAAAAATTGCACAGCACTGCGAAAGTCACAAAGAAAGCAACAGAGGGTAGCGAAGAGACAGATAGTCGTGTCTCGGTTGTATCAGAGGCCGGGGAACCCATGTTGTTCATGGAGCCTGACCAGATTGCTTTTCCGTTGAGAGCCAAATCGGGTAACCACCACTGGCGGAAAGGAGAAAAAGTCTACGAGAATTATAGCTGGAGTCACCTCTGGGGTTCAAACGGTTTGAGTTCGCTGTGAGTTGGAAATTACTGAACGAAGATATCGCCTTGCGAATGAGGGTCGAAGGTAAACACGTGCAGATGGTACAACCTCCAAGAAATCAAGGGGAACCTCCAACGGTTGAGGAGGAACGGCCAAGTTACTTCACTATTTCAGATTTCAGCAACTTGGACCATCAAAAGTGAAGAGGAGAAAGACTTTGAAAGAATTACAACATGATTCTCCTCCTGGGTTTATAAACTTCGAGTCCGCAGCGGATTGGACGGGTCATGCGAATGGAAAGTGAGCAACAGCACACCTTTCTGTTACATAAAAACAGCTTTATTTTTCCTATTTTGGTTGCGTAATCGGTTAATTAAAAGTCCCACTTTTTACACGTTTACCGGATCGTGAGACAAATTTTTTTCACCAGTTTGAAATACTGCAATAAATAATTGAGTATACCATCAAGCTTAAGAAAACAACAACATCTATATCGGCTGTCCATAAATTTCATCCATCCCCGAAAACGATGAACGGGATACTATTGTTGCTTAGACGAGACCTAGAGATGTTGGCTTATATTGTGTAACAAATTTTGTTTGTTGCCGTACTTTTCAAGTCAGTGAATGAAGTTTTCAAAAAGCCGACGTAAACCTTCTCTAAATGAAGGGATGGGGAATTTTCATGATGTTCTTCTCCAAACATATCTCTTTCTCAAAATATTTACCAGTGATTTTGGCTTACATTACGTAACAAATTTTGTTTGTTAGCGTATTTTTCGGTGAATGAAGTTTCCAAAATATTTACCAGTGATTTTGGCTTATATTACGTAACAAATTTTGTTTGTTAGCGTATTTTTCGGTGAATGAAGTTTCTAAAAAGCCGACACATACCTTTTTTTCTAATTGCAGCTTTATACTGCGGGGGATTTTCATTATTTTTTTTTTTAGATTTAGGTTGAAATATCTATCAAACATTCTTAAGACTGTAGAATATTTCGCCCAAAATGGTCAAGCTAGTATGAAAGTCAAACTAATGTTACATAACAATATAGGGATGTTGCCATTTACTGAGTTGTTTTTTTTAATTAAAAAATAACTCTGTGTTAGCGTGTTGATTGGTATATTGCTTGCACAAATTAGATCGCCGAATTAGAGTTTGCATCTCGTACCAATCAGATCGTCACATTAAGGTATGTATCTCGCACCAATCAGATTGCCGCATTAGGGTACGTATCTCGCACCAATCATACCACAGCAATTGGAAAGCTTGCACCAATCATTGCGTTTGGGTGTTTTTTCTTCTTACAAATGATGTCATGGAATCAGGGGTTGTGCACAAAGGTTCGCATTTAACCTTTTTTATCATATGAAAGTTAAAACGCTCCTTTACTCACAACGCACACGCCGAACAATTGATATTCCATCACGTACCATGAAACCAACGTCCAAAGTCCAATCAGAACATACCCAATCATTGCACTAAATGAACATCAGGCAATTTTACACCTGCTTGAATTGTATTCCATCAATCAAAATCCATTTTGCTACATTAGCTTTCGCCCCGCAATGTCCAACCCTACTGAAAAAGATTCACATGGAACTAAATGCTAATGATAGTGAATTTTCCACGTAGTTCTCTAGCGTTTTGACTTTTTCTACGAATATAATTCGCTTTGAGCTACCTTGGACTTTACCCAATCGTGTGTTAATTCCTCGGAAACAACCTACATTTTGTCACGTATTTCAGACACAGAGGGCAAAGTCCAGATAGGCAACAACCAATCGAGGAGCCCTCTTTGAAATATTATCCTTTTCTCTTGTTCAATGAATCTTCCCCCACGTCTAGATCGTAATATATCTTTGGTTAGGGTATGATGGAGATACAACAGAGTTTCAGTTTGCTTTTTGTATTTAAAGTACGTGGAATTATACTTTTGAGGCAAATGACTTTGATTTTCTCTCTGTTAGAGAAACGGCGGTAAGTGCAGTTCCTTTCGTAACCGTTACCTGGCCTCGTCACGCGCGCTCTCTCCAACGGGGAATAGATAGCGTTGTGTGACAAGATCAAACATTAGAGGTGAAGAAAACAACAGTAATCGTGGCTCCGATATATTTTATTTTCGCCCAGAAATATTTAGATAAAAGAGACAGTAGACCACAAAATACCTACGTGAGTTCAGATAAATAAGGTTTTTTTTTCTTTCTTCTTAATATGAAGTAATGAGATGTTTTAATTCTTTTGAAAGTTGTCCTTTTTTTCTGTTACAAAATTAAAGCATCAGGTACCCAAAGTATCCCATCTAAACCCACCCAGCCCAAAAAATAACTCTTATTAAAAATTTTTAAGGGTCACTTGTCCAGATTTTCCTTCAATGCCAGCTCGATTGGATCACATGGTTGCGGCGTGAAGGCTCAGCCCCTCAAGCAGACACCCATTGTTGGGTTTCGTCTGGTGCAACCACTTCTGTTCTTAGTGAATGGCCAATAGCAGGTCGTTTGCCATCTTCTGTAAATTTTTGTTCACTGCTAGCTGCCTTCGAGTTGTAGGAAGGCTCCCGGCAGAGACAACACACACCGTTTTCAGAAAAAATGGGAGCACGAAAGACAAAACCAGCCAAGATACGAGAAGATGGCGCAGCACTGCGAGGATCACAAGGAAATCAAAAGATGGTCCTGAAGAGACAGACAGTCGTTCCTCGGTGGCGTCGAAGGGAAATTTATGTTGTTGATGGAGCCTGGCCCGATCGCTTTTCCACTGAAAGCAACCGGCAACCAGCAGCGGCGAAGAGGAGAAAGAGTCTGAAAGAATTACAGCAAGAGGCGCCACATGGATTCAAACAGTTCGAGTCGGCAGTGAATTGGAAATCTCTGGACGAAGATACCGCTTTGCAATTGTGGGAGGACATTTTCAAGCCTCTACAAAGTCCATATCATTTTCAGGGTACATGCGGTCTGCAAACTTTGAAGCAGGGACCCTAACAATTGTAAAATCTAATTTCAGTAAATGTATTTCTTTAAACATCTCTGTTCCTGTGGTTATTAAGCCAGAGATTTTGCTTAGTATTACATAACAACTTTGTTTGTCTCGATATTTTTCAGAGATGGAGTTTTCGATAAGTCGACAGTTATCTTCTTTTCTAATTGCAGCTTTGTGCAGTGGGGGATTTTCACGAATTTGTCAAATCTAGGTTGAAATATTTATTAAATGATGTAAAGGCTGAATCAAATTTCGTATGAATAGGATACCAAAATGGTAATTATAATCGATAAGTCAAGCAAATATTACGTAACAAATTAGAAATGATGCTTTTTTTTCCTTTGTTGTTGTTCCTTTTCAGTAAGACAAATGTTATTTTGAGTTGATTGTGTGCTGAACATAATTTCGATAGTTCGTTTAATATAGAAATATTTAATTAAAGTGCCTAAAAAACAGGAGGAAGTCTACCATATAACTCGGCTAAAAGTTTAGAACGGTATTATTATGTAACGTATCAGAAAAAGAAATTGCCATTATTTTCTCATCGTAACATAAAATGTATGATGAAATATGAAATAAAGTATTAAAAACTAAGTTGAAAACGTAAATTGACCACCGTAAAGAGTTTAAAGGCTGACGTTTCGAGCGTTAGCCCTTCGTCAAAGCGATTGAAGGAATTGTAGGTTTTGTGTGGGCCGGTTTATACACTAAAAATGGAGCTGTGCTATTGGTGGGAACATAGTGACGAGAATACAAGAATAAATTAGTTGAATGAAAAGCACTCGTTTATACCGAACTGCCTAGATGTAGGGAAAGGCCGCAAAATGCCATATCTTGTTTAGAATGATTAGGGAGATTAAAGTGTCTAGCGAGAGGTTTGGATGCGTCCTTGTCATTTCTTTCTTCGTCGCGAAGGTGTTCTCGGAATTGGTCATCTAGTCGTCTTCCTGTTTCACCAATGTATAACTTATTGCAATAAGAACTAGTTATGCAATGAATGACATCGGCGGAGATACACGTAAAGTGATCTTAATGGATCTGTTGGGTCGGTTTTCAACTCAGTCGTAAACACTAAATTACCTGCCATACTCTCTCATAATAAAATATGTTTGGTTAGTTTGTTGTTTAGCGCCAGAAATGTCACCAGTTGCAACATTAATCATTGTGCGATAGGTAGTGTCAGTTTATCGTTCATTGTTTTAAAAATTGATTCAGAGTGGAAGAAGAATTCAACAAATTGGGGTCTTGAAAGCGGAGTCAAAAAAAAACCAGGCTGGTATTTTTTTAGTGTAAGGTTGTTGAAAGCTTTACAGATTTGTTTCTTTTCTTTAAGTTTCAATTTTGTTCTTAAAGCAATTTCTAT